CCCCTAACCCTAACCTTGACCCTGACCCTCACCAACATCAATGCTACCTCTGGGTCTCCATAGCCAACCAAGTACGTGGAGGAGTCTCAGACAGGCTATTTTAATTTCTCTATCCCTGCCATTAGGCCTCCTTTCTTAGCCTTTGCCTTCCGAAACCTATACTCAGCTTCTCAATCCCTAACTCTGGGCCCTCAGAAATTCTCCTCACAACTCCACAGTCTACTCGAAAGTCCCAGGCCACCCTAGTCTTGGGACTTAGTTCTGGGTAAGCATCTTTCCTGTGGCCTCTGAATAACCATGTTCAAAGGGAAGATCCAGAGAAAGGAGGCAGGGAACTTTCCACCCCCATCAGGGAGAGACCACTAAACAAAGTAACCACAAAGGTGTGGACAAGCATCAAGGAAAGATCATTAGTGATGGACTGGAACCCAGGTGGGTCATCTGGGAAGGCTTCCTGGAGGAGTGGCCCAGGCTTCCCATCATGCCCTGGAGTGAAACTAAGATTCTTCCCTTTCCTAGCTCCCCTACCAAGATAACCCCTACCTGTCTCCCTCAATAGTCACATCCCACCCTAGATCCCAAGCCAGGCTGGGATGTATTCACTGGAACATTCATTCAACAAGTATGTATGAGATTCCTGCATCATCCCAGACCTGCTGGCTCCACAGGCCAGACGTCCAGCTAAATGGGTAGCAGGACAAGGAAGAGAAACTGAAACTATGACAGAGGAATGCCATTCCTGTAAGGCCATCCAGCCAGGCTGCAGGGAACGAACCCACACACCTCTCCTCCCCTCAGGGCTGAGAGAGTCGGGAGCCCGGGGCCAGGATTCTGACTCCGAATGGGCAAGAAACAGGCATACAGGAACACCAAAGAGACAAAACAAGAGAAACAAAGCACACAAAAGACAGAGGCAGATCAAAGGTTGGGAAGTAGAGAAGATGTGAGCGTGCATAAGAGAAAGGAGAGAGTACCAAATTGCTAAATTAAGCTACCTCTTCCTCTTCCTCTTCCTTTGAAGGAAAGCTGCCCCTTGTTCTTTTGAGAGCCAGTCCTAGATGGATTCCTTCCCAAGCCTCCCACCATTCCTTGCTTCTCTGCTTCCCCTCCTCTGGTCTTTCCCTGCCTCCTGGATGATCAGGATTACATCCTGCTACCAGTTACAAGGTAGCAGACTCAGATGGAAGGAAGGAGAGGGTCTTCAGTCTCTAGACCACGTAAAGACCAACCAGCGCAGGGCTTCAGGGGGGCACAAGCTGCCCAGATGTTCTCTCTAGCTGGGGCCATCCACACTGACATAGGGCTAAACTTTTCTCCCTCCTGAAGAACCAACAGGTTTGTTAGTATGTCCTGGAGGGATCTGGGGGCTGCTCACATGCCCTCCACCTCCCGCCCCCATCAGGCTTGCTGGCCCTTTGCAGGACTCAAGTTCTGGTACCAAGGGCAGGAAAAGGGCTTCTCAAGTCCTTGTCAAGCAGAGGCCTGGACTACATGACCCCCAAGGATGCCAGTTTAGGGTTGTTGTTTAGTGCAGTCAAGTGAGTTCTGACCCACAGTGACCCAATATAGGGTTTCCAAGGAGTAACTGGTGAGCTTGAACCACCAACCCTGGGGCTCAAATTGACTTTGCAGTCAGTGCATTAACCCACAGCACCATACCAGGACTCCTGCCAGTTCAGGGTAGAGGGAGCCATGACTGGAACTGGGTGAGAGGAAGGAACAAGGGACAGGGAAAGGGATGGAGGAGGTAGGGCTGGGCGGTTCCTTGGAGTTTTGTTTGTTTGGGACTTTTTGCTGGCTGGTCCTGTTTGGCAGCCAGGGCTGAGACTGGCAAAGACACCTCTACAACTGTACCCAAGGGAGATTTTGCCAGTTGGAGGAGGAGCACCAGGCTGGGACTCCACATCCCTTCCCCCAGACCAGCATGCCCTCCACTCCTCCAGAAAAGTGAGGCCACCCCCAAAGAAGGGCCAGTGCTCAGGGCCCAGAGACAGGCCCAGCAAAGCCAGCCTCAAAGTCAGGGCCTAACTGAGGCCAGCATCAAACAGCAGATTTAGGAGAAATTACACATTAGGAAATGGTAATGGTTCAACAAGACGGAGAACATATTTAATGTCTCAGACTGTACATGTGAAGATTATTGAAATAGCAAATGTTTCCTTACCTACACACTTGTACTGATCATACACAAAAATTGTGCAGAGGTGGTTATGAGGATTAGGCATCCGGCTAAAAGGAGCCCTGGTAGTGCAATAGATAAAGCGCTCAGCTGCTAGCCAAAAGGTCAGCAGCTCAAACCCACAAGCTGCTTTGCAAAAGAAAAGACATGGCTGCTGGCCTCCCTAAAGATTGTTGTTGTTGTCAAGTGCGGTCGAATCTATTCCGACCCATAGCGACCCTGTATAGGGTTTCCAAGGAGCAGCTGGTGAGCTTGAACCGCCAACCTTGCAGTTCAAACAGCTTTGCAGTCTGATGCATTAGCCCACAGCACCACGCCAGGACTCCTCCCTAAAGATTGGCTGGCAATGGCAATGGTTATGTGCCGTGGAGTCAGTTCCGACTCATAGCGACCCTGTACAGGATTTCCGAGGCTGTAAATCTTTACAGGAACAGAAAGCCTCGTCTTACTCCCGCGGAACAGCTGGTAGTTTCGAACTTTCCCTAAAGATTACAGCCAAAGAAACCCTTTGGAAACCCAATTCTACTCTGTCCTCTGGACTCACTATGAGTAGGAAGCAACTGTATGACAAACAATAACCCTTTCCATGGGTCAGAAAACTCAGAAGCTAAGAGTAAAGGCTCAGAACTCCAGCTACCCAGGTTCAAGTCCATCATGAAGAAGTTGTGTGGCCTTGGTCCAGGCACTTAACCCTTCCAAGCCTGTTCACTGTTCTGTAAATTGGGGCTTTTGAGAATGAAAGCATGTGCCTACTATGGTTGCAGTTGTGAGGACTAAGGGAGGTAATCTATGAAAAGCATTTGGGACATACCTGGCATATCAGTTATTGTTTTGACATGGGCAGACTCAGATGCCGTTCCTGCTCCCTCCCTTCCTCACAAAGTACACAGGGGTGGTCAGTGTGGAGGAGGACACCATGCTGTGCTTGACCACATGCCATTAGGATACCAGGTCAGGGAAAGATGTTGGGAGCCTCAGGTGAGTCAGGCAGGTGGGTGTTGAATGGGGGGCGTGTGTCAGAAATGAGACACCGACATAACGCAGTGGCCCCGCAACCCAATGGCTCACCCACCCCCAGCACTAGACCTTCTGTACCCTGTTGTTACTAAGTGCCACCAAGTTGGTTCCAACTGACAACAATCCTGTATAGGGTTTCCAAGGATCAGCTGGTGAGTTTGAACCACCAACCTTGTAGTTCAAACCAACCTTGCAGTCCAATGCTTATCCTACAGCAAGCACCACACCAGGACTGTGCCCTAGTGAGCCAGAAATGCCCAATGTGAAGAGGAAAGGACTGAACCAGGACACAGGAGGTCTGGGCTGGGCTTGTGACTCAGCAAGCGGCTCCTCTTCTTCCAGGCCCTTCCATCACTGACCACCTGAGTCTCTCCATGGCCAGTTCCTCTCTGCTGCGGTCTCCAGCCCACAGTGGTGTGCCTGGTCCAGGGAAAACACACAGAACCATCGGAGAAATCAGGCCAAAGTGGAGGAGAGAAGATGGACACTGTCAGAAGGCAGCTCTTCTGGTCAGTATAAAGGTGCCCAAAGATGGACGAGTGGGACTTAGGAACAGAGAAGGACAAGAGAGTAGCCCCTGGTTTGCTAGACTTCTGCTGCTCTTCAGAGGCTCTGTGGGAGAAAAATGGCACCTTTGTTATTTCCTACCTCACACAAGGTCAACAGTTCAAACCCACAAGCTGCTCCTTGGAAACCCTATACAGGATCAGATGAAAGAAGGAAAGGAGACAGAGAAGAGAGAAGAGAGTTCTGAGAAGGGAGAGAGGGAGGCAAGGGCAGGTTTCTACAGAGGGGCTTTTCATCATGTGCCCACCTCCCCCAGAGACCCAGCTCCCTGAGGGTGGCACTCAGTCTTAACCACCATTTATTGAGGTCCACATTATGCCATGCTCAGCAAACATGGTTTCCTGTGGGGTATTGTTATGCCCATTTTACAAATGAGGACAAAAGTCTGCCTGGGGTCACACCACTGGTAAGCAGACAGCTCAATCTTGAACCCAGGTCTTACTGATCAAAGGCAAGAGCGCTTTGTTCTGATGATATTTTTCTCTCCAGCCTGAGAGAGTGAGCTGCACACAGTTGTTGTTGTTGTTGTTGTTAAGTGCCATCGAGTCGGTTCTGAGCCATAGCGGCACATAGTAGGTGCTCAATAAATGATCATTCAAATTGACAGGGGGGAAAACGGGGAGGGAGGGAGGAATTGGAGAGAGCAAAGAGGGAAGATGAGCCAGAAGACACTTCGGCAACTAGAAAATAAATAATAAAAGTGATGTTTTCCAATGCCAGGTTGGCATGGTGCCCAGGACTGCTGCTCTACACACAGGGAGCTCAGAATGATTCTTGACTCATCTTTTCCAAAAGTATGTGAGGTTAGGTACGTCAGCATTCAGGTATGCAGCTGAGGTTTGCAGTGAGAGGCGTTCTCTCTTCTCTTTCCTTGTTGAGTCTGCCCTGCCTCTGCCTTCCCCTCCACTCTCCTACCCACCAGTCAGACCAGCCTCAGTCCCATCCCGCCCCCTCCCCCGCCCCGACACCAGTCCAGCTAGGCTGGGGGGGTGCCTGTGAACAGTCCCCTCAGCCAGGCAGATCCCCTGCCGGTGAGAGGGATCCTGCGTGGTGCCGGGGGAGGGGCGGGTACGCCACATCATCTAACAGGTTGGTCGGGCTGCGAGGTGCCCCGCCCTCCCTGAGCTAATGAGCACTGTACGACAGGTGTTTGCTCCTCAGTCCCCAGCCTGTCCAGACTTCGAGAGGAGTCAGCAACCGCCTCTAGCAAGCTCCCTCGATAGCTTGTCTTCCTGCGCCCTCCCAGCTCCCGGGCCGGGGGGCGCGATGGCTTGTCGCTCCTGTGTCGTTGGCTTCAGCAGCCTCAGCAGCTGTGAGGTGACCCCGGCGGGCGGCCCCCGGCCTGGTATCTCGAGATGGAGCAGCTGCGATGTCCCGGGGCTGGATTTCAGCTCCCGAAGCCTCACAGGCTGCTGCTCTACTGGCACCATCCCCCAGGTGACCTTGAACCCCAGCCTGCTGGTGCCCCTGGACCTGAAAATGGACCCAGCCATCCAGCAGCAGAAGAACCAGGAGAAGGAGGAGATGAAGATCCTCAATGATAAGTTTGCCTCTCTGATTGGCAAGGTAAGCACAAGAGGAGGGGATGCCAATGCTAAGGATTGTCAGGCTGGGCCAGGTGAGTGAGCTGTGTGTTCCCCAGCATCTTGCGCCACTCTTGCTCCCAGACTATGGGATCCAGCATGGACCTCCACAAGCTTCTCTGGGCACACAGAAGGAAAAGAAGTTTCTGATCCATCCTGAACAGAGGAGAGAAAGGGATTGGTCTGAGGGACGTATGGATAAAAAGGGATGTATTTGGAATTTCACCCCCAGGTATGAACCAATGAAGTTTGGCTAAGGGGATGCGCCCTCACTGGACTGATGGAGGTATGATCCTGGTCCTACTCAGAGGCTGGTGGACAATAGAGATGACCCTCAAGGGTCCACCTTCTGTCCATCCCTCAGGCCCTCAGGCCTTTGGCCTTGCAGCATCTCTCCCAAGACAGCTTTGCTCAGCTTCCAGGGGTCCAAGCAAAGGCCAAGGGGGTGTGTGGGACAGCGCACAGGAAGGAGGATTCAGCTTTGGCGTCAGGAGATAGGAATGCAGGGGATAGATGCCTTCTCCTACTCTTCTACACCATGCCAGAGTAGAGACAGCAAGTCCTCAGAACCCTGCTCTTCATGCTCCCCACAGTGTGTCCATCTTTGCACCCCCAGAGAGCCCTGTGTCCCTCCCAAAACTGCTCCTCACTACTTCCTCCTAGAAACCTCTACTGGCGGTCCTCCCAGCTCTCTCCTCTCCAAGCCCTACCCTAGAGCAATAATCATCGCAGTCACAGCTGTTGTTGATCATTTGCTTGTTGTGTGCCCGGCACTATGCCAGGGGATCAACAATATTTACCTTTATTTCCCTCAGCAACCTTATGGAAGTACACAGTTTATGCCCATTTTACCAATGAGGCAAACTCAACCTTTCTCATCCTCTCAATAAACCAGAGCCATCTTTCTGTCCTGGCTCAGCTCTTGTTGGCACTTAGGCCTCTTGGATTTTGTGTCTCTCTGCATATTGCCAGTCTCCCACATTCGATGGGAGCTTGCAGAGAGGGGCAGAAGGACGGAGAGAGAGAAGGAGGGATATAACTTGTATTGAGCATCAGCCTATGCCTGATTCTCTGCAGGGACTTTACAAATGATATCATTGGGCCCACACAGCAACACGTTGGCTATTTTCCTTTCCGTGCAGATGAGGAAACCAAAGACCAGAGAGGTTATGTGCCTTGCCTAAGGTCACACAGCTGGTAAGTGATATCACCTAGTTTAGAACTCAAGTCTATGAGACACAAAGCCAGTAGTAGTGGGAATCATTTCTTTTCATCCCTCACTCAGTGGCCATACCAGACCTTCCTCCTGCAGCCGTGAGGTATACCCAGGGTGGGGTATGTGGAGTGGAGTAATACCTACCTATAGAAGGACTTCCACACACTGAAGCGAGCATCCCCACGCCCACCCTGACTGGCCACCACTGGTCATTGCTGCCCTGGTTTCCCCGGACAACAGCCCAGCAGTCATGGCCACTGGGAGGCAGGTTCCTACAGACCCATGTCCTCTTCAAACCCAGCTTAATCCCTTAAAAGGAATGCTTCAGTGAGCTATATAATTTGGCTCTGATGAGTGGCTTCTCTCCCGTGAACGCTACTGCTGATATCACCCTGTCCTCTGCCACAGGGACAGCAGGAGTGTGGAGTACCAGGGAGCGGGTTTGGGCCAGAGGCCCCATGTTCAGGAGCCAGGGCAATGCCCTAGAAAAACTTTAGCAGGATCAGAGCCTCCCAAGCCTCAAGTCTTGGCCTTAGTCTGGGGGTGACCTTCATAGTGGGACACAGGGAGCAGTTGGTGCCAACCATTTGGGGGTCTTTATTGCTGGGGCACTGCCCTGAGGAGTTCCAAGCGACTCACCAACTTTACAGAGAAGGTCTATCCACCGATGCCACAGCCCTTGTGTCTGTGAGGCCATTGAGGCCCTGGGTAGAAATAGGCAGCCGCTGAAAGAGCGAGTGCTGGTGTTTGAATCTGAGTTTGAATCTTGCTGTCCACCTGGAGTAGCTGTGTATCTCAGGCAAGATGTTGAACCCCTCTGGCTGCAGTGCACAGTGGTATAATGGGCTTGTCAAAATCTAACGGGATAATACTTGAAAAGCTCTTAGAACACACCTGGTATGTGTAAGTGCTTTACAAGTATTTGTTAAACACAAAAGGAAATGAATGAGCCCAGACCTAGGAAGCTCCTAGGACCCTTTGAGCCTCTTCTAGGAAGGAGGAGAGGGAGGACAGTCTTGATGGATGAAGAAATGGCTGGACTTCATAGATAGTGAGTGCATCATGGGAGCCCAAAAGTGAGAGGCCATGATGCCTTAGAGCTGGGAGCTCTGAGCAGAGGTGGGTTCCACCTCCCCTTCTTTGTCCTTTGAGGCACCAAGAGAAACAGGAAAGCACTCAGGAGGAGGTAGAGCAGGGGCACTCCCATGAGATGGCCAAGGGGCCCTGGAACTGTTTTGGCTCTGTCACTTGCTGGCTGAGTGTCCTTGGACAAGCTGCTTTCCCTCACTATGCCTCTGATTCATCCTCTCTGCTTCTGTCCTGAAGGTGACCCTGAACTCATGCCAGTGGAAGGACTAGTAAGGCTGTATCATGGTAAAGGGAAGTAGTAGGGAGAGGGGCCTCAAATGAGAAGGCCATGGAAGGGCAAGGAGAGAGCAATGGTAAACCCATTTCTGCACTCTCAGTGGGCAGAGGGGATGAGTAGGACTGCCCAAGGTCAACCAAAGGACCTTAGAGAGACCTGGTATCTGAAGCATAGTGGTTGTCACTCGGGACCCTAAAGACGGAAATTAAGAGGGGTGGCAGGAGGCCAGGAGACAGAGGGATGGAGGCAATTTCTCCCCTGACATCAGGAGGTGACTGGAATCATCCCTGTGCTACAGGTAGGAAGACACAAATAACCCATCCTGACCAAGAGGTCAGGAGTTCCTGGACAAAGCCAACCTCTAGTTGAAGGCCATCTGAAGAACAGGACCAACATGCCCCAGAGGCACAGCCCTCTAGGTTCCCCTGCCTGCACTGCCCATGGGTTAAGAACCTGAAGACCCTTTGCTATGTTTGGGCTTCTTCCCTCAAGAAGGCCCTCAGCCAGGAGCTCCAACCTGGGCTGCTCAGCTTCTCTCCTAAAGAACACATCTCTCCCCATAGCCCTGCCCCAGCTTGGCCCTGATTCTCAGCCACACAATCAGGCCACAGTGTTCCTCTGAACGATTGTGACATGGGAAGGTAGATAAACCAAGAATTTGCTCTCTGAGACCCCTCCGAGAGCTACCATGACCTAAGATGGGGGCGGAAGGAGAGACAAGCAAAACAGAGAAAGAAAACTGAGTGGCAATAGCCGGACTTCTTGACAAGTTGGAGACAATTACCCTGGCATCTCCCTGGGTGCAGGGATTAGCAGCCCTCCCCAAGCCTTTGTTCTGACAGGGAGGAGCCTTCTGCAGGGTAGGCCTGGGTGGGGGTTAAGTTTCCCTCCCTACTCATTGAGATAATGTGAGTCTCTCCAAAAGAGCAACAGGAGACAGGAGCCAGCCTCTGATCTCCCAAGACCGAAAATGCCTTCTAGCTGGATTGGCTGGCCAAATGTATATCCTCTGCCAGTGGGCTAGTGCTGAAACATGGGGGATTGAGGTTAGACTAAGGCAAGAACTTCCTGATGTGAAGGGTTTTCTGCTGCTCATGGGTGGAGGAAGGAGTCTCACATCTCTCTTCTCACTCCACCCTCAGTGTAAACACAGGGCTCCTGCTTGTCACAAGGGAGAGAACATGGGGTGAACAGGTACATCCCCCCACCCCATCGCTCCCTGTCACACACACAGAGCAGGGCAGAAACCTTCTTGATCTCTGGCCCTACTGAGAGAACATGGGGTGAACAGGTATATCCCTCCACCCCATCGCTCCCTGGCACACACACAGAGCAGGGTAGAAACCTTCTTGACCTCCCTCCCTACTGAACCTGTTTGGCTGTGATGCCAGCATATGGTAGACTTAAGGTCCACTTCGCGCAGAACTTACCTGTAAGACTGGGTGTTAAGCGGGGGAATGACAGCCCATAGAAGCCATTTTCATAAGCCGCCATCCATTACCTTTGCTGGTATTGTGTACTGAGTGTCAGGGGGATTGCCGGAAGTCATTAAAGCTTGTCAGGGGAGAAAAAGGAAGCTTGGGGATGTGGGCAGGTCAAGAGAGAGCTGACATCCCAGATGCATCTGGGACAGCAGCCATCAGATGGGACTCTCTGAGAAGCTCTGCCACCCTGGGCCTCCATCTCCTCCTCTGTGAAGGAAGGGTTCGGAGAAGCTAATCCAAAGGCTCCTGGCAGCTCCCTCAGGCTGGGCTTCTGTGAACCCGTGCCAGCCGCCAACAGTAGATGGGATGCAGCCCAGCTGCTTAGCGCGAGTGCCAGACCTGGCCCCTCCGATCCCAGAGAGCGCTATCAGGTTCGCTATCACAACAACAACCCCAGCTGCCCAGGAGTCAGCCCCCTCCAGGACCCTAGCCTGACAAGAAGGACAAATGAGCAGCAGATGAACAGAGGGTCTCAAGAAAGAGAGCACAGGGAAGAAGAGCACCCCAGGAAGGCTGGAATCTGCTGAGGTCAGAGAGTGGAGGCCAGGGGTGCCTGAGGCTGAGCTGGACTGGGCTCAAGAGAAATCCCACAGCCTACCAGTGGTTGTAGTGTGGTCCACAGGCCCTGGAAGCCCCTGTAGGCGTGAGCAAGGAGGAGCCCCCCAATCTTCATCTTCAAGATAAGGAAGACTAGCTGGGGCGCCAGAGCCCACAGTAGCTCCAACAGACTGGAGGTAGATGCTGCAGTGGATATGGGCACAGATACTAAATCCAAACCCCAAACGCCTGCATCCTGCTCTATAAGATACAATTAGTGATCCTGTCTACCCATCGGGTTGTTCCCAGGATTTAATAAATTGAGAATAATGTCTGGCACACAGTTGTTATTGTTATTAAGTGCCATCAAGTCAGTTCCAACCCATAGCATCCCTGTATGGGGTTTCCGAGGAGCAGCTGGTGAGCTTGAACCACCGACCTTGTGGTCACATGGTAGGTACCACATAAACACTTGCTAGTGTTATTATTTCAAAGTACATCACAGTTTTCCCAAAGGAGGTAGGCAAGACAAGCAGTATCATCCCCAACTTCTAGCTAGGGAAACTGAGACTCAGAGAGGAGGGTACAAGTCCAAGGTTGTCAGAAGGAGTCATGCTTTAAGCCCCAGTCAGGCCCTATCTTGCCAAGTGTCTAAAACCATATGAGATTAGGCTTGACAAGGGGGGGCTCCCTGGGGCCTTCCACCCAAGCCCCAGGCAGGCACCGAACATGTCACATCATTGGCACTTAAGCCAGAGTTCCCTCTCCCTGCATCTGGCTAGCCCTGCCCCTCCCCTAGGAAGCCTTGCTCATTGGCTCCATGTCTCTTGAATCTCTCCGTATCTCCACATCTTTGTTGGAACAATTGGCAATTGGAGATTAGTTCTGAATGCACTGAGCCCAGAGTGGGTGTGCACAGATGAGCTGCCACTTCTCAGAGAGGCCCCCTTCAGGGCCCGGGGCATCAGCCCCCGACCTGGCCACACCTGGCGCGCTCACCACTGCCTTCTTGCTCTCCCAGGTGCAGGCCCTGGAACAACGCAACCAACTGTTAGAGACCCGCTGGAGCTTCCTGCAGGGCCAGGACTCTGCCTCCTTTGACTTGAGCCACCTCTACGAAGAGTACCAGGGCCAACTGCAGGAGGAGCTGCGTAAAGTGAGCCAGGAGCGGGGACAGCTGGAAGCCAACCTACTGCAGATGCTCGGGAAGGTGGAGGAGTTCCGAGTCAGGTAGGCTGAGCCCTCAAAGGGTCACGGTTAGGACCTGGGGCCACTCAAGATCAAAGGGTGGGGACCAACCTGTACAGGTGAGAGGTGTGGGACACTGAGATGGAGGAAAAGAGCTGCAGAACATTTCTTAACACCACAAATACTTATTGAGGACCTACTATGTGCCTGACAATGCTCCTACCACTGCCCCAAATAGTGACCCCTCCAGTGAAGTCAGTCACAGCTAAGCACTGTGTTTGCTGACCACTGGAACCATCCCAACCCACATCCCCTGGTGCCCATAAATATGCCTGCTCTTGCCCACACATCCGCACTGGTGATGGGAAATTATGTCCCTAGATGGAACATCAGACAGGCTTCTGCTGTGCCGATGGCTTTGGATTTTAATCTCGACTGGGCTGAAAAGGATAGAGAAGTGGCTGGTGTACAGGCATGGGCTGGAAAGGGTGGATTTCATGTGAGTAAAGAAGGAATCCCATAAAGATAGTATGTGCCAGGCATCAAGATCGACATTGGAACTAGAGAGATGAATAAAACAGCCTGCAAGATGCTTTGACAACTTAATGGGGCAGACAGACAGGGAGATAATCTGCTGGACCCAAGCTTGGGCAACTAGAAAGGGTTAATGCTTTCCCCTGGCCCTTGCTAGCTTTGTGACCTCAGGCAAGTTGCTTAACATCCCACCTCAGTTTTCCTTCTGTATAAAATGGGAATGACAGTGCAAAAACTAAACCCACTGTCAAAGAACCACTTCTGACTCATAGCAATGATTAAAAAAATAATAAAAATAGACATACTGCCATCGAACTCATAGTGGCCCTGCATAGGGTTTCTGAAACTGTAAATCTTGAGAGCAGACAGCTTCATCTTTCTCCCTTGGAGCAGTTGGTGTGTTTGAACCACCAACCTTGCGGTTAGCAGCCCAATACCTAATCCACAGCACCACCAAGCCTTCTTGATAGTGATGCTAGCTGATTCCAGTTTAAGATGGTAGGAGTAAGCTGGAAGTTCTAAACAGCAACTCTCCTAGAAGGTTGAAGGGCCTGGCACACAGTAGGTACCTGACTAGCATTTGTTGAACTGGACTGGACAGTCTAGAGGCAGACTAGGCACTGAGGTTGCTCAGAGGAGACGAAATGCTCTGACTGGCCAGTGGGCAGGGCTTCAGGGGCATGGAGACTCATGGCAGAGCTGAGGTTGAGCAGCTAGGCTGTGTATGTACCTCTCCTTGGACCTGGTCCCCTTGGAATGAGATCCCAAGCCAGAGTGGCCTAGGCCCCCTGCCACCTCCTCCAGCTCCAGGCCTGCTCTCAAGCCATGCTGAACAAGGTTAAGCCCTTGGTTCCAGGAGGGCTGGGTGTCTCGCACCCTCCCAAGAGGCCAGGGCTCCAACTCTACTTGCCCAGATCTCCTGCTCAGCCCCACTCAGGATCTGAAGAGACGCGCACACAGGAAGCTCTCCCTGTTCTGTGGACCTTTGTTTCTTCATCCAGGAATGATCTGGCCAAAACCTCCCAGCCAATAGGCATGATCTGGAGCCTGACTGGGACTGGGCCCCTCCCTGATCTGGGACCACCTCCTGGGGGTGCTAGGGAATCTATCCATTCTTCCTGATACCAGCTCATCAGAACCCACAGCATTTCATCAATACCTACTAGGTCTTTGACCCTCAAGGGACCAAAGAATGGCAGAGCTAGAAGGGGTCTTGGCTCCTCCTAGTCTAGGGAAGGAAACAGAGGCCCAGAGAGAGTAGGGGCTTGTCCTCAGCCACACAGCATGCACATCTATCTCAAAGCCCACTAAAAGAGCTGCTTCCATGTGCCCAGCCAGATCTTGTTGATGGGAGCACTTTGTACCTGGAAGTTCTGTACAAATACTACTTGTTGTTTTAATCTGACTCAGCCCCCTCATTTGGCCTGCTGCCTGTTTCCATTGCCTACTGCCTGCTTTTCCTCTGTTTAGGCTCAGGGCCTCTGTTTCTCTCTCTGAGGCAGGAACTCACTGGAATACAAGATGGAGAGACAGGGCCTAGGAGCAGGCCTGGAAGGCTTTGAGGGGTCTGCAGGCCAGTGCTAAGAGGCTGTCTGGGGATGAGCAGAGCCTGCACCCCCCCCCCCTCAAGGAGTCAGGAGGCACCAGGCAGAGCCCTGGCAGGGAAAGGCTGTGCCCCACCTCTACAAAGCGATGAGCTCAGCCTCACTCCCAGAAATAAACAAGGGGTGGGGGGGAGAGGGGGGGCGGGGTGACAAGCTGAAAAGGGCCTGTGAACGGGTTTGGGAGCTGGTGACTTGCAGACTGGCACAGAACTGGGGGTGGTTTGGGGAGAGATGACATCATCATTTAGTCGTCTATGGGAACAGAGATTTCCAAAGTCTTTGAGGCAGCAGGGGCACTAAGGATCAGCTAGTGGAAAGCTCTGTTTGCTACAATGAAAGAAGAGCCGCTCAGCAAGAGGAAGCAACTTCCCCAAGGCCACACAGCAAGTGACTCAGGGACGCCACATACAGTTGTGCATTCTGTCTACTACACAAGAGCACTGGTTGGGAGACTGAGCAGGGGCTGAAATCCAGTCATGCAGCAAGCCGTAGAGCCTGGTGCCGGACTGCACACCCCCAAGGAAGTTCTTAGAAGAAAGGATGGATGTGGGCCAGCAGGAGCCTTGAAGGGACTGACCCCAAACTGGAACCCAGCTTCCTGCTTCGTTCCTGTGCTTGCACCAGCTAGCTTTTGAAAAAGGCTCCCTGGCAGGAGGAAGCATGGGCTCCATTCCATCCCTCCCATCACGCCTGGAGGTCCAGGAGTAGGGAAGACCTCAGTCTGGACAGGATACTCTGAGGACCCCCTTCACTCAGGCCCCACACTCCTGACACCCTTCTCTGGGGTGGGAGATTGTTGTTGTTGTTGTTATGTGCCGTGGAGTCGGTTCTGACTCATAGAGACCCTGTACAGGGTTTCTGAGGCTGTAAATCTTTACGGGAGCAGAAAGCCTCATCTTCCTCTCACCGAACCGCTGGTAGTTTCGAACTGCTGACCTTGAGGTTCACAGCCCAATTCATAACCACTACGCTACCAGATAGATTGTTGTTGTTGTTAAGTGCCATAGAGTCGGTTCCGACCCATAGCGACCCTGTACAGGGCTTCCGAGGGTGTAGGGGGCAATATTTCCCAGAATAGCTGCCAGCCCTCCTGTCTAGTTTCCCCTTGGCCCCCGGCAAGTTTTCTCTCTGGTGGATCAGGAAGAGACACCGTGGAAGCACAGTTTACCCCTCTCCTCCTCAGTCAAGGACAAATTCGAAAAGGTGGGAGACTCGTAGGAGTCTCAGAATCCCAGGCCTCAGCCCCAAGGTTCTCCTTCTAAGATATCTCAGTGGAAAAAGCTAAATGAACATCAGGCAGGATCGGGACCAAAGTGACCAGAAGTGACTGTGGGCCCACTGAGGGTCAAAGCTCAGAGCAGTGATCAGGACCCCTGACGGGAAGGGAAGAAGGAGGGGGAGAGCAATGAGGGATGAAAGGAGGCTGGGCACCTCAGGGAGCTCCCCTGGATTGTTCACCCTAAGTGTCTGTCCTCAGGTTGAGGGCAACTGATGAAGGCTTCTCAGCGTGGGACTCCCCAGGGCAGAGAATTCTCAGAGACCCCTAAAGCTTGTTTCAGTCAGCCCCGCCCTATGGACGGACTGACTGACTGACATGTGAAGGAAGAGCCAAGAACTGCCCCTCTCTGCGATAAGGTTCCCATGGTTACTTTCCAGGAAAGCTAGAGCCAGGTCCCAGGACAGAGCTCAGGGAATAATAACAGTAACACTAACTGCTTTATGTATGAATTCTTACCACTTCACTATTATCAGAGAACACACAATAACTTATCCAAAGTCACACCGCTACTTAGCAAGGAAGCCGGGAGTCGAGTCCAAGTAGCCAGGTTCCAGAGCGCCACACTTCAGCACCACACCCCAGCAGCCACCAATCCCAGCTTAGACCAAGTCCTTCTCAGAGCCTCAGTCTCCACATCTGTAAAATGGGACCAATGGCGGGGGCTCCAAGAATCACAGGAGACAGTGCAGGTAAAACACCCCCACTCCAGTCAAGGTACATCATGGGCACTTTGTTTAACCCATGCACTGTGATCTGCACCCTCACAACCCGTCTCAGACTCTGGTCTTGGACAGGAAGCACAGAGTATCAGAGCTTGCTGCAGGTTCTGACTTTCCTCTAAGTCAGACCCTCTCCTCAGCTCCTCAGGCAGGCGGGCATGTGGGAGAGAGGCATTGGGGAGGGCAAGTGCAGGTGCAGCCAGCTGACCCAGGTGATGGGTGACGCTGCCCCCGTTGTGAGGTCAAGGACTGGGGCAGACAAGCGGCTATAATTAGAGCCGCCAATGATTCAGGCATTCCCTGGAGAGGAGGGCGGGAAAACAGGAAGCCACAGAAACCCCACATCCGCTGGGACAGGGATGTCTGAGGCTGGCAGACACCCACCCACATGGGGCCAGGCCAAACACCTTGAGTGGAGGAAGAGGGGAAGGTCAGGAACTGGGGTCCAGTTCCTCCATCTGACCTTGTTCTTGTTCTAAACGTGAGTTGGACTTGAATTAGGAGGAGGCAGCACTGAGAAGGAAGGACCCACCCCCTTCCTGTGTCAAGTACGGGCTGTACACATTGCATCAAAGGTGGGCTTTGTGACCCCACACACACCTACACACCCACATTTAACTCAAAGAGCAGGAAGCCCAAGGAGAATGGTGAAGTCACTGGCCCAAAAACACAACCTGCAAAGTCCACACTTATTGTCCTTCCTTTGGAAGGCACATGACTACCTTCCAGCAAAGCTTCAGCAGGGAAGGGGTGGTGGTGGGTAAGAAGGAGGTTGAGTAATGGGGATAGGAGCAGACCTGAGCAAAGGCACAGCCAGCTTGGAACCTGAGCTCTTTAGTGGAAGGGGGAAGATTATGGGCCAAGTTCCAGAGTGAGCCACTGCACAATCAGGAGAGGCTTCCTGGAGGTGGTGTGGAACAGAGACAGGATGGATGGATGACCATCAGGAGGCTGTGGGAGGGAAAGATGGGGAGTGTCATAGGAGATGCAGGGTTGCGTTCACCTGAAGGAAGGGCCACTTTTTTCTAATTGGTCCAATTGAGCACCAGCCTCATGTTCTGTGTCTCTTTCTTCCTGCCTCTCCCACTCTTCCCATCCCTCCCTTCCTCTCTGTCTCAGGTATGAGGATGAGATCTCCAAGCGCACAGACATGGAATTCACTTTCGTCCAGCTGAAGAAGGTAGCCTGCCCTCCTCCTTCCTCGTGGGCCTTCTGCCCTCTTTCCCTCAGGATTACCTACTTTCCTTTGCTGTTGAGTGCGCTCAAATCCATTCCAAATCCCAGTGACCCCGGTGACCGAGTAGAACTGCCCCATAGCGTGTTCTCTGCTGTAATCTTGATGAAAGCAGGTGACCAGGTCTTTCTTCTGTGGAGAGGCTGAGTGGGTATGAACTGCCAACCTCTTGGTTAGCAGTTGACTGCTTAGCTGTTGCAGCACCAGGCCTCCTTATTTTCCTCTACTCCCAAGCAGGCCCTCATAGACTTGGTTTCCAGACCAACAGACAAACAGACAGATGTATCTGTCTCACCTTCCTCCTTTCTCCCAGGGTCTGAGCCAGGTTCCCTCTGGGAATCACTCCCACTCTTACAGGGAAGTAAACAACCCCAACCCCTCTATCCTCTGTGATCACTCACTACTGCTCCCATCCCTAGGACCTAGACACAGAGTGTCTTCGAAGGACTGAACTGGAAACCAAGTTAAAAGGTCTGCAGAGTTTCGTGGAACTGATGAAAACGATCTATGAACAGGTGAGGGGGGTGGGGATCTGCCCAGCCAAGGGCCAAAGGGTCCACAGCAGAGGGTACAGAGGAGGACAGTCATCCTGCCTGTCACCCCTTCACACATTGGCATGGAGCACCTTCCCAAAAGATGACTCTCAGGGAGAACTTGTGTCTTCACATGGGTATGCAATGCTGAGGGTGGTCAGAGGACCAGGTGCATCTGGCCACAGAGGCAGGGCCCATCGGGACTTGAACAACTGTTCTTACTCAACTACCAGTTGCCACTGGGCCTATTCAGACCCTTGGTGACCCCATGTGTATCAGAGTAGAACTGTTCTCCAGGATTTTCGATGGCTGATTTTTTGGGCTATAGAAAGCAGATCTTTCTTCCTAAGCGTCTCTGGGTAGACTCAAATCACCAACATAGGGACTCTTCTACTGAACTAACCTCTCTCTAATCACTGCAGCTGAAATTCCAGGCACTCACAGTTCTAGTCCTGAGAGGCACCTTCCCCATGTGGTTGACGTAGGGAAACCCTAGCTTCTGAGGGAACAAAAAAGACGCAGTGAATCCAGACACAAGAGCTCCTAGAGCACGTTTCCAGTTGCCTCCTGAGCATTCCCCTGAGTCGGGTGGAGAGTGGCCACCAGATCCAGTGTGTTGTCTGTTGTGTGGACACCAGGATGGATCCTGCTGATCAGGGCTGGACACTGGATGTGGATGCCACTCTCTGCTCCAACCGCTGCTTCCTAGACATCCTAGCCTCCTCCTCTCCACATCCCCTGTTTCCTGGATGAAGACATGTAGGGGTGATGCTCTCAAACTACTAGTGGGGTTCCAAATGCCTTAAGTTCAGCTAAGTACAAGCAGGACCATTGTTGGGGGTGACAGGGCTTGGCAGCCTGTGTGCAAACTGCTGGAGCCAAGCTATGGCAATGCCCCCAGTGAGCCAAGAGGAAGTCAGAGTCTCCCTCTCAGTCAAAAAGTTCTACTAAAACTGCCCTACACACTGCTGACCACAGCAATATGGCCTTGCCCTATGGAAAGGGAGATTGGGCTTCATGGCTGTGCTTATCCATACTCTTTTCCAGCAGGCTTAGCCTCCAGCTGAAGCTCCTGTGGGGTGGAACAGAGCAGAGAGAACATCACAAGCCTTAGACCCAGTGAGAAGGCAGCCCACCCAGACAGACCACCCACACTGGCAGCCCAGACCAAGCCCTCCACAGCCAGGACAAGTCCCATGTCCCATAACAGGCTGCCTGGGGCCTCATGCCCGTGGATTACCTTGAGGCATGGATCAGTGGCTCCTCTGTCCCAACTCCCCATGGGCTGCTGAACCCCAGGCCAAGATCAGCAAGGCCTATGGCTCAGAATCTGCATTCTGCCCTGTTCTCCCACTTGTCAACAAGCTGAGAACCCAAGTTCTAAGCCAGGATGCCAGCCCTGCAGATGGGGTGATGTAACTCAAGATTAGGCATAACTAGCAATATATCAGGCATTGCTGGAAGCACACACACAAAACTTCTTGGCCACTGCCTCATTAGTAAGGGAAGGGTTGTGGGCTTTTCTGTCTTTGGGCCTAGATTCTGTCTCTGTCCTTGACCCATTCTTGTGACCGTGGGCAAGTTTTGGGGGAAGAGCCAGTCCTATGGAATTTGGGGAGAAGGCACCATAGGCAGAAAGGAAACCTAAGCAAAGTCCCCAAGACACAAAGTGAGTTTGTGATATAGAGTCAAGGAAGAAACCGTTATGGCTGGAACCAAGAGGTCAGAGTAGGGGCCCTGGGAGAGGAAGCCAAAGCGCCTGTCAGCGATCAGGCCATGGAAAGCCCAGGGCTCCGGTCAGGGATTTGGACCTGTTTCTAAGTGAGATGGGTAACCAACCACCAGTAGGTCCCGGGAGGGAGTGGGTATGGTTTGTGGTTTTGTAAGACAGCTGTGGAGAAGGAACTGTAGCAAACCGGTAATGTCAGAGTTACCGCTTTGGGAAGCAGTAAGGTGGTGTTTGTGTCCCTTTTTACACATCAGGCCAGGCTGAGAAGATAACGCTGACCCCTTGCTAAAAAGATTGCCTGCCTCCATGGGTCTCCAAGCCTGTTCCACCTGATGGGAGTATATAATGCAAGCCACATATGTAAATTTTTCATTTTCTAGTACCGCCATCATCACTCACTGCTGTCACATCAATTCCAACTCATGGCAACCCCATGCATGGTGTGCACCTTCCCATGTGTGTGGAATGCTGAGCATGTTCAGGGGACCAGACAGGATCTAGCGGGACTTAGTCAACTGTTCTTACTAAACTACAAGTTACTGAGTCCACTTAGACTCCTGGCAGCCCACGAGTATCAGAGTAGGAGCTTTTGATGGCTGATGTTTTAGAAATAGATCTCCGGGCCTTGCCATGAAGGCCCCATTGGGTAGATTCAAATCTAACTGCTCAATTAACAGTACAGCTCATTAACCATTTGTACCACTCAAGGACTAATTTTCTAGTTGCTATTGTTGTTTAGTGCCGTCAAGTTGGTTCCAACCCATAGCGACCCTGTATAGGGTTTCAAAGGAGCATTTGGTGAGTTTGAACCACCAACCTTGTGGTTCAAACCAACATTGTGGCCCAGTGCTGAAAGAAAGAGATACAATTCATGTAATAATATATCTTATGTAGTTCAACATATCCAAAATATGATGATGTCAACATCATTCAATCTAAAAAATTAATGGGACGTTTTACATTTTTTATTCATACTAAATCTTCAAAATAGGGGGTATGTTTCGTACTTGCAGCTCATTTCAATTCATACTGGCCACATTACATGGTTATCCATGTTCTTAATGTTGGGTGCTACTGAGCTGATTCCAACTCATGTGTGCAGAGGAGAACTCCATAGGGCTTTCTTGGTTACAGTCTTTTCAGAAGCAGAAGCCACTGAATGGGTTCAGAGAGTCCATCCATGAAGTGCTGTCGAGTCAATTCTGACCCATCGTGACCCTGTATAGGGTTTCTGAGGAGTAGCTGGTGAGCTTGAACCACCGACCTTGCAGTTCAAACAGCTTTGCAGTCTCGTGCATTAACCTACAACACCACACCAGGACAGAACAGTTCTGAGTGAAGGAAGGTGCCAGTCATGGCTACCTTAGGTGGAAGACATACATGGTGGTAAGTGATAGCCTCAGGAAGACAGGGCACTCTAGTTCGTTTTGGAAAAGGTGTCAGATGAGAAAAACTATGCTGTATAGGCCTACCTCTCAAATTCCAATAAATACCCCTCCCCTCTCCAACATGCTCACACATACACACACATCCCCGGGCCTCCAGAACCCACAAGTAAATCTGGATAAAACAAGGCATGGGCAAGTTCTGAAAAGCCCATCCCAACTAGCTCAGCAGGAGCTCAAGGCCTCCCGTCTACCACCACAGCCTCCTTAGGGATCTGTCTACCTCTTCTGGCCATCACAGGCCTTTATGGTCACAAGGCAGCCCTCCAGGACACAAGGCTGGGGTGATGATCCTCACTGGGCAGAGGCTCACATTCCCCTTCATCATCCAAGGTGCATTCTAACTCCCAAAAGCATTTGGAGCCTGGCTTCATCCAGCCAGAACGCCACCTGCCCCACCCATAAACTCTGGTTCCAGGGAGATTAGCTGGGAATCTGCTGACAATCCCCAGCTGACCCAGGTGAACCATGGGGTGCTGAGCCCTGCAGAGAACCTAGTACTATCTGAGTAGCCCTGGTGCCTGCCCTCAAGGTATTTTGAGGAGGCTTCTCCAGCTTCATGACCTTTACCAACTCTAATACTAACCTTTTGTTGTTGTTGTTAAGTGCCAGCAAGTCAATTCCAACCCATAGCGATCCTGTATAGGGTTTCCAAGGAGGAGCTGGTGAGTTTGAACCGCCATGCTTGCAGTTCAAACGGCTTTGCAGTCTGGCACATTAACCCACAGCGCCACACCAGGACTCCTTAGTGCCTGTTTATTGAACACATACTATATACCAGGCATTCTGCTAAATGCTTTCCATACTTAATCTCAGCTAATCCTCATAACCACCCTATGATGTAGGCAATTTGGCACAATTAAGAGAGCATAGCTTTAGAGCCAGGTGTGACACTGTGGATTAATGTACTGGACTGCAAGGTCAGTTTGAACCACAAGGTAGGCAGTTCCATTCCTCAGAAACCCTCTGCAGGGTCGCTATGGGTCAGAACCTACTCAACGGCACTTAACAACACCAACGCTTTAGAGCAGCCTGGATTATGTGAACTCCAACAGGTTGTTTTAACATTTCTATGGTGTGGAGTCCTGGTATGGCACTGCAGGTTAATGCTCTGGTCTACAAGGTTGTGTTGAACTGCAATGTCGGTGGTTCAAGGTCACCAGCCACTCCTTGGAAACCCTATACAGGGGTCACTATGAGTTGGAACCGGCTCAACAATACATAACAACAACAATGGCGTGGCGCTGTGGGTTAATGCTCCAGACTGCAAAGCCATTTGAACTGCAAGGTCAGTGGTTCAAACTCACCAGCTGCTCCTCAGAAACCCTATACAAGGTCACTATGGGTCAGAACCAACTCGACGGTGCTTAACAACAACATGCCTTGATTTCTCCATCTCTAAAATAGGGAGAATAATAAGAGCACCTACCTCACTGGACTGTTTGAACGATTCATTTTATTAAAACATCCTAAAGCTCTTAAGGCATTCTGATAGAGTAGTGGTTACAAATCGGGCTGTGAAACTTAAGTTCAGCAGTTCGAAACTACCAGTTGTTCCGCAGGAGAAAGATGAGGCTTTCTGCTCCAGTAAAGATTTACAGCCTCAGAAACCCTGTACAGGGTTGCTATGAGTCGGAACCGACTCCACGGCACATAACCGCCACCACCACTAAAGCTCTTAGCATAGTATCTGGAACATGGTACACATTTAATATATTTTAGCTGTATTCAGTTCTATACTCATTTTACTGATGAGCATCAGAGAAGTTTAAAAACCTGGCTAGTAGGAGGTGGTGGTATTCAGAGTTCTGGTAGCATAGTGGTTACGAACTGGGCTGGGAACCTTAAGGTCAGCGGTTCGAAACTACCATCCGCTCCGCGGGAGAAAGATGAGGCTTTCTACTCCCGTAAAGATTTACACCCTCGGAAACCCTGTACAGGGTCTATATGGGTCGGAACCGACTCGACGGCACTTAACAACAACAACAACAAAACACTACATTGTACTGACCCCTTCGAGTCACCTGCTGCCTTGACCTTAGCTACACACACAGCATCCTCCTTAGGCTCTGGCTCTGGAGGAAGCTCTGAACTCTTCCTCAGCTTAATTCTTGCCAAGGCAGAGATACACATCCTCTCTCAGGGACGCATCTCATGATGGCACCGTCACATCACACAAGGAAGCATTGTTGTGCCTCTGCAGCCTAGAGGGGCCAGCATGTCCAAACATGTCTGAGATATTCTGAACCCTCCATTTCCTGTGTCTATTTACCAAGTGCCTGCTTACCCTGCCTCTCTCCAGAAAGGATAGTTAGCAGTCTGCCACATCAGCTCTGTGCCACCAATCCTGCTGGCCCTGGGAGGGGGAGCCCTCTCCCCTGTCTGCAGTGTGTCCTGACAAGGCCTAGGTGGTTTGTAGTTGTGAACTGCCACAAGTCAGACCCAGCTCAAGGCAGCCCCACTTATGAGAGGATTGCTCTATTGTGCTCCATAAGGTTTCCACTGCCTGAGTCTCAGAAGTAGACCCCCTGGCCTGTCATCCTAGACTTTCTTAGTCTGGAAACTCCGCTGAAACCTGTCAGCATCATAGCAGCTTGTAAGCACCCCCTGACAGCCAGGTGGTGGCTGTAGTTGAGATGTATCAGCCCAGGCAGTAACAAATGCCAAACCAAAGCAAGAGTAGGTGTGCCTTCAGAGGGCTCGATCCAGAATGCCCCACACCCACTAATCCTAGCACTGCATCTCTGACACTGGCCAGGGTATTGGTTTCACATGGGGAATGTTAGCTTTGGTTGGGAGAGTGGCTGAGTGTTGGGCTGTGAGCCTGTAGTAACCACCACTCACATGGTCTGCGCTGTAGCCTGTCTGCATAAGGAAGGATCTCTGTGAGGTTCATGGGAAGATCAACCCCTCAGCAGGAGACGCCCATGGGGGCAGATGGCCAGCTCAGGCTCCTGCTGACCACAGTGCAGAGGCAGAGTACCTTCTGGGTATAGAAACCAGGGACTCTCTGAGCATAAGGATGATGAGAATCAGGAGGGAGCCTGAAGTCAGGAGATTAAGGACCAGAATTCAGTCATAAGCCAAAAAGTTACACCAGGGTCTGAGCAGAACCCCAGATCCCATGGGCAGGTGTCAGGAGATACAGGGGACACAGGCACTTGTGAAACACCAGTATGGGGTATAATCAGCAAAACCCAGAGCGCAGAAACATCACAAGACTAGAAAACTGATTCTTCCAACTAGAAAAAATTGCAAGGAAATAGGGAGAGAGAAACAGAAAAGGGTTCTATAGCTTGAAATCCCTGAGTAGCACAAATGGTCAAGTACTCCACTATGAACTGAAAAGTTGTCAGTTTGGTGCAGCAGAAGAAAGGCCTGGTGATCTGTTCCTTGAGAACCCTATAGAACAACTCTACTCTGCACACATGGGGCCGTCATGAGTCAGAATTGACTTGATAGCCACTGTTTGTTTTTTGTTTTTTAATCTATAGATTAAAAGAATCACAGAGACATATGGACCAATTGCAGTGTATGAACTTGGTTTAGATCCTGATTCAAACAAACAAGTGGAAGAAAAACATGAGGCAATCAGGGAAATGGGGACACTGGCTGAAGTATGATGACTGAAATAAGAGTCAAGGGTGGACGGTGAATGATACTCGGAATACCAGCCAGCTCAGGCCCCATGCCCTTCCTCCACAGGGGGAGCCTCACTTCCTGCAGACTAGCTCTGAGCCCCACCTGCCTGGCTCTCTTCCCAGCCTCCCAACAGTGACTCACTCTGCCCAATGTGGTATACTCCCCTATAGCTCCTCCCTCCGGAAGGAGGCCCCACACAGGGCCAGTGCTCTCCGGTGAAGCAGTCCAGGGCCCAGGACCCCTGCTCCCACCTGCTACCCTCCACACTACTGAGCATGCTGGCCTGGAAGATGGCAGGCTGTAGACAGGGTCTGGTAGGGAGCCACTGGGAGATGGCTTCAACCTCTTGTCTCCACACTCTCAGGCTTACCAGCAGTGAGGAAGGGCCTGAATCTGAGTCTGTCTCTGCACTCACAGCTGGTCCCATAACCTCTTTGTGCCTCAGTTTTCCCCCTGTAATCTGAGGCTAACGAGGATACCAGTCTCATGAGGATTAAATGTGAGGGCACGTGGTAAACCCTTAGCATGCAGCCTGGTGTGAAGGAAGCGGTAGATTTTAGCATCTCCAGGCACCTCTGTGGATGTGGTTGGCATTTTCTAAGCAGGGATGAGACAGAGAAGAGGGAAGAGGAGGAAATGCTATTCTTGTGGCTGAGTCCTGTCTTACTGGCAAGCCCCTCAACTAGAGAGGGCATGGGAGGTGACCCTCTGGTGACACTGCAGGCTGAGTGTCAGGGGCAGGGCCTCATCGTGAGCAGCAGCCTGAGGCAGGGGAGGGGGGCACACATCTGTCAGCCTTGAGCCGCACCCACCCCCTCATCATTCATGAGATTCTGTTCCAACATCTAGGAGTATTTGACAAACTGAGACGACGTGCCTTTGTACCAAACCCTGTGCAGATGAAGAAGGGTCTGCTGGGCCCACAGGGAACCCTGTCTCTGGAAAGACAGAGTTGAGTAGTGGTGGAACCAGGGACGAGGGGCTTGATATGCCCCAAGCCCAGGGCCACCAGCTAGGAGGAAGGTGTCCCACCCTAGCAGGAGTGCCTCAGGTAGACAGTGGAGGATTGGAGGAGATACCAACAGTCGGGTTGGAGCCCGGAGTGAGAGCAACACAAGAGGTCAGCAGGGAATGGGGTGGCAGTGGTGACCTGCTTCCCATAAACCCAAGCTGGAGAGCTGTGGTAAGGAGGCCCTAATTGTTCATCATCTCTCCAGGAAGGCTGAAAAGGAGAAACTCCCCTCACCCTGGGGTGAAGGGACTGGCTGTGGCAGAGGGTCCTCCTGCATTCCCCTAGCCCTAAACCCTCCACATCTGTGCCCCACCAGGAGCTGAAGGACCTGGCAGCCCAAGTGAAAGACGTTTCAGTGACCGTGGGAATGGACAGCCACTGCCACATCGACCTGAGTGGCATCGTGGAGGAGGTGAAGGCCCAGTATGATGCCATCGCCGCGCGCAGCCTGGAGGAGGCCGAGGCATACTCCCGCAGCCAGGTGCACAGGCTGACCCACAGGCAGGGAGGAGATGGACTGTGGTGACCAGAACTCACATGCATAGCAGTGTGACCTGAGATTCTATGACAAGGAGAGAAGATGGGAGGCTGGTGCCGGAGAGGGGGCACAGGGACAGAAATGGAGTCATGGGGAGGGGCTCCTAGTGACTCCCTGCACATCCTGTCCTCTCCCAGTTGGAGGAGCGAGCTGCCCGCTCTGCTGAGTTCGGATCCAGCCTGCAGAGCAGCCGCAGTGAGATCTCGGAGCTCAACGTTCACATCCAGAAGCTCCGATCCCAGATCCTCTCCATCAAGAGCCACGTGAGTGTCCATTGGATGCACCCCCACCCCCTCAAGGGCTGACAGGAAGGAACACACACTCACACACCAGCCAAACTGACACAGGTATGATCTAGCTGATTGACTCTGGGCTGGTTGCTTAGCAACTCTGTGCTTAGCTTCCTCACCAGTCACCTGAGATAGGACACTTATGAAGATTACATGAGCTTTGTGTTTGAACATGCTTTGTAAACTGTCCAGGGATGTTGGCTATTAGAGGGCCCACTGCCTCCCTCCCAGACCTCCTGTCAATATACAGGAGAAGGGAGTGGAGACCTAAGCCCCCGCCTGCAGCCAGGACAAGCAGCTGCTGCTCTGGGGGCATGTAGGACTTCTCTCAGATTTTAGGGAAGTATCTCCTTAAATCGGCGTCTTATTTTATGTGCAACCCAGGGATGCCATTGTTCAGCCTTCCTTCCCCACATCTATGCCCCAGGTGGGCTCCTGGCTGTGGCCCACTCTCTCACTCCCAATCCCCCTTACTGGTCCCTTCTCCCTGTCATTCTGGTGGCAGTGCCTAAAATTGGAGGAGAACATCAAGATGGCCGAAGAACAGGGTGAGCTGGCCTTCCAGGATGCTAAAGGCAAACTGGCCCAGCTGGAGGCTGCTCTGCAACAGGCCAAGCAGGACATGGCACGGCAGCTGCGAGAATACCAGGAGCTCATGAACACCAAACTGGCCCTGGACATCGAGATTGCCACCTACCGCAAGCTGGTGGAGGGCGAGGAGAGCCGGTGAGGGGCCTAGGGAGAAGGAGGACTGGGGGACCAACCCTGCACCAAATTAGCCTCCCTTTCAGCATGGCTGGGTGAGCCAAGCAGGCCTGGGTTCAAGTACTCGTTCAGCCACTTATAAATAGGGGCCGTTGGTCCAGTTCATTAAATTCTCAGTTTCCCCATCTAGAAAATGGGCTGGTCATAAGGTGGCCCCCTCATGCAGGGGTAGGGAGGATCAAATGTGATTTTGCATGCAAATGCCTGTCACAAAGAAGTGCTCAATAAATAATGTTAGCTGGAGTCCCTAGGTGGTATAAAGGGTTAATGCAGTCAACTGCTACCCAAAAGCTCGTCAGTCTACCCAGAGTACCTCAGAAGAAAAGTCTGGCAATCTACTTCCAAGGTTTCAGCCACTGAACACCCTATGGAGCACTTTTCTACTCTTAGAATGCAATCAATTCCATTGGTAATTGGTTTAAATGTCAGTATACATGGAGGGAAGAGGATCAGAAAGGACAAGCCAGATAGCCAGGACAATCCAAGGGCTGGGAATCCCTCTCCACCTGCCAAGTCCTGGGCTTCCAATCCCAGGGGAGCTGAAGCCACAAGCTCCCTCACATCCCACCATGCTCTACCCCCACCCTCAGGATGGAGCTGCCCTCAACCGCAATGGTCAGCGCTGTGCAGTCCCGCTGCAGGACCAGTGAGTATTCTTATCCTCAGGGCCCATGGCGGGAAGGGAAGGGTGCAGGGAGACCATGACCCCAAGGAATCATTTTAAGTGGCTCCCAAATCTCTAGCCCCTCCCGTGCCTTACCCCTTATTTCCTCTGTAGCTTCTTCCAAGTCAAGCCTCTCCAAGGCCCCCTTCCGGAAGAAGAAAACCAAAGGCCACGTGATCAAAATCACAGAAATGTCCGAGAAGTTCCTCTCCCAGGAGTCGGAAGCTTCAGAATAAGGCAACAGGACCCCAAGAGCCCCAAGTTTCTCCTGCTGCAGCAGGAGAAACTTAAGCTAGACTCAAGAAAGCAGCTTGGAGCCTCTGGGTTGGGAGACACGGCCTGATACTGACCTGATAGGAGGAGGGTTCAAGCAGGGACCACTTTACTGTGGTGTCCAGGGGTGGGAGGGTGGGAGGCAGCTGCTCAGATGGACTCCTTATCAACACCTCATAGTCTCACCCTTCCAGGCTCTGGTCAGAGGTTTTCCAGGCTGGGGAAACTGGAATTTGGGCATCAGTTTTGTGTCCACCTCCTCCCTCCTCTGAGGTTTCCCACACCATAGGGCTCTAACTAAGGTGCCTTTGATTCTTTTGCCTAATCCTTGCCCTAAACTTGTATCTCAAGTCTTCCTCGCTTATCCATCTTAGTCCTGGTTATGGACTTGGGGGTGATGAGGACTATGTAAGTACCCCCACAACATAGCTGGAGTTCCTAGGGAGGCTGAGTGACAAGTACCCCCTGGCTTTCCTGCACCTCATGGGTCCCCCAGACACCTGACAGTATTAAGGAATGAGGGGAGGAGGGCCCTGGGTGTTGGGACTTGAGCCAGGACCTCTGAGATCAAGCCAGACACCTGCCTCCCACCCCCCGTGGGTCTCACCCAGTAGGTCATATTCCGAACTGAACCAGCTGCGTATGGGGGCACCACCCCTGGCCAGCTCCCCGTATCTTCTCCAGAAGCTATTCTTGCCATGATCAATTCCCTGAGGAGGGGGCCAGATGACAGCCTGGGGCTAGGCAGGAGAATGAGACCCTCCTCTCTCCCCTCTGCCATTCCTGGTTCCTGAGTCCCTGGATTCACCACTCCTGCTGGGATCTGAGCTCTCTGTCCCCAGCTCAGGCCCTTCCCATCCTGAACACCTGGCTTTGGAGTACCAGGTCCTTCCAGGAAGCCCATTTCTCATGACTCTCTGCTCTTAGGCCCCTGTCCTCCTCTATATCCATTGAGGACCCTGGAACACCCCCACGCCTCTGGAGTTCCAGTTCCTTCTTTTCTAAGGGTGTCCTACCTTTTACCCCTCTCCTGTTTCCTCCCAGCATGCCCACTCTGCCTGAGTCTGGCAGGGCCAGGAAGAAGGCACAGTCGGGACAGGTCTGGGGGCTTCAGAGCCCTTGAGGTCGGGCTGGGGAGCCCCAGTGAAAGCTTCAAAAGGGCTCAACCAAAGAGAAAAAAATTCTGCATCCAGTAAGATTAGGGATTAAAGTAGGAGTGCTCCTATTTCCTGCTCTGTGCTCTCACCTTGGGGGCAGCCTTAGACTCTCACTGTGCAGCCCCCTTCTCTCCTTCCCTTCTTCTCCCCTACTTTCTCACCTCCTTTTCCAGCCCCATTTGATCCATTCATCTCATTCTCCAGGACATGGTGGCCCCAGGCCTTGGCGCCTCCCAGACCTGCAGGCCTGTTGTGAGCACTGAAGGGCTACCACTTCTCAGGCTGAAGGGAGACATATATACTTCATCCCAAAAGAGGGTGCTAACTGCTGCTTCATCTCGGGCTATTTATTGGTTTCCAAGGGAGCAAATCCTCAGTGGGGATAAAGATATTATAAAGTATATATATTATTTTTTCATAACTTATGTGGCTATAACTTATTGCTTCCCTTCCTGCTTCTGTATAATCAGTACTATCTTCTGGGATAGATAGCATATTTCCCAGCCAGCCCATCTGATTGGCAAGGCGTCCTTGTCCCTGCCAAGGGATGAATAAAGTACTGAGATGTGTCAATGGATAGAACTGTGTGTCTGTATTTATCATCCCTCACAGGACTGGTCCATCACTAGTTAATTGGGTTGACCACAGGACTAGAGGAATCCTCCAATTATGGGAAAATGGGCCTAGGGACCTAGGTGTACCTTCAGGTCGGTATAGCTAGGACACATAAAAGTTCTCCTACCTCATCATCCTACAAGGAGACAGTACCTGCAATGACCATTGTTCCCAATGTTTCCTGACATGTGTGGGCACCACGTGGGACACTTCATGAAGTACATAGGGAGGACTCCCCCAAGTGGTGGTGGGGGTCTTCCCAGACACCTCTGCCTGCCTGTGGGGGCTGGCACAGGCTAGAATATATTCTGATGGGTACAGGCCTAATCCTGCAAATCAAATGCCAGTTCAACCACTAAAGATGAAGCACCTTCTCCAAGCCCAGCCCTGTGCTAAAACACCTACAACTTCTCTCCAACCCTCTGCCATAAGAAACTCACAATCAGATTGGAGACTTGAGATAGCCACTCAAGATAACCACCTCAGACTTCTAGCCAAGTGCAGAAGTGGGTGCTATTACAGGTCAGGGGGACTCCCCGTGTGGCACTGTAAGATCAGCACTGAACTGCGAACCATAAAGTCAGCAGTTCAATCCCACTAGCTGCTCTACAGGATCGCAATGAGTCAGAACCAACTCGACAGCACTTAACGCCAACAACAAAGGTCAGGGAAGAGAGAGACTTGTGGAAGGGAGTCAAAGCAGAAATAGGAAACTAAGCTTTATGTGAGCATCAAGGAGCCAGAGCAATCAAAAGAAGGAGGGGAGGGGTCTTCAAGCGGAGTTCCTGTCCTGGCTCACTTCCCTATCAGCAAGGCGAGCTGGGGCATATGAAGCCTCAGTTTCCTCACCTATAAAACAGACAACACCTTACAGGGATACTCACCTGACAGGGCATTAGGGATTTGATGAGATCTGATCTGGCACTATTGCTTCCAGCACTCTGAACTAGACCAGCTCAACAATTGGACAGGATTATTGGCAATGTCATTATTGTTATTACAGCAGATGTTAAGGATTAAAGACAACTGACTAACTGAGTCACTAGGAGTAGAAATTGACTCATCAGCAACAGGTTTTAGAAGCCCTGGTGATGTCATGATTAAAGCACTTGGCTGCTAACAGAAAGGTCAGTGGTTCAAACCCACCAGTCACTCTGTGGAAGGAAGATGTGGCAATCTGCTTCCAGAAAGATGTACAGTCTAGGAAACCCTCTGGGCCCATTCTATTCTGTCCTGCAGAATAGATTGGATTGCAGCGGGATGGGTTTGAGCTTGCTTTAGGACTAGTTGGGAGACCCAGAGACAAGCCAATGAGCTTCAGGATGCTGCACAACCAGAGCTCTCATCTGCAAGTTTGGGGATCAAGTCTGTTTGTTCTTCTGAGGATGCTAAGGGGTGGGGAGAGACTGGCAAATAAACCACACACCCATCCCAGGAGAGGCAAGCTGAGGCTAGCCCTCTCTTAATCAACAAATACCTTTGTTTTCTAGTTGATTCATCTCTGCCTAGGTATCTGTTATTCTTTGTGGTGTTGTAGGTTAATGCGCTGGACTAAAAAGTTGGTTTGGACCATAAGGTAGGTGGTTCAAGCTCACCAGCTGCTCCTCAGAACCCATATACAGGGTCACTATGAGTTGGAACTGACTTGTCAGCCCTTACAACAACACAACAACATATATATCACAACATATATATCTTTTATCTATGTGTTAACCCATAGTTTCTCTATGGGTTAAAGTGCTGGACTACAAAGTCGGTTTGAACTGCAAGGTTAGTGGTTCAAGCTCACCAACCAATCCTTGGAAACCTTGTACAGGGTCACTATGGGTCGGAACCAACTCGACAGCACTTAATAATAACAACAACATCTTCTATCTACTTCCTTTATTATTCTATCCTTTTCCAACTTCTTGAACTGAATGCTTGCATCATTAACTTGCCATCTTTCTTCATTTCCAGGTTTTTTTTTGGAGTCTTCGAAGATGATAAATTCCCCTCAAAGTACCATTGGTTTCATATGTAGCATTTTGGTTACTGTTTATTTCAAACAATTTTATTCTTTGACTCCTGCATTGTTAGAAGTGTTCCTATACGAAGGTCTTCATTTCACAAACATTTACTCTTCTCAGTCTGTGACTGACCTAGCCCAGGATGCTCAGAGGAACGTTAAACTCATCCCACATTTATCCCCGCGTCCTTGACTCTTTAATCCACCACACAAGAAGTGCTTCAATTGCTTGAAATAGTACTTTTGTTTCCCTTATCCCAGATGGCTCCAGATTTTGTAAGTACAGCGTGTGTGTCCTTCTGCATCCCTGGGCCCTGCACAGTCCCTGAACCAGAGAAGGTGTTCAATAAATGTAGAATACAGGAACAAATGAATGGATCAATGAATGAATCATGCCCATCCCCAACCATAGTCTCTTGGCCTAAAAGTCCCAAGAAGACGAGGGCATGCCTCATTAACCTCTGCACCCCCATGCTAATGCAATGCCTGGCTCATGGACGGAGTGCAGTGGGATGTGTAGAATGAATGAATGAATGGAAACAATGATTTTCCTCCCCAAACAAGGAAACCCTCCTGCTTATGTTGTGTGCCAGGGGGTCAATTTCAACTCATTATCATCTATAGGACAGAATAGAATTGCCCCGTAGTTTCCTAGGTGTGGTGCTATAGAATCAACCAAACCATAAGGTCGGCAGTTCAAACCCACCAGCGGCTCCTCGGAAACCTTATACAAGGTCACTGTAAGTCAGAACTGACTCAACAGCACTTAACAACAACAACACTCTTTTCAGAAAGGAGCTTTGGTGGCACTGTGGGATAAGTCTTGGTTTACTAACCACCAGGTCAGCAGTTCAAACCCACCGCAGGAGCAAGATGAGACTGGCTGCTCCCATAACAATTTACAATCTCAGACCTTCCCCCAGAGCCAAAAGAGAGGGAAAACTTCTCCTAGCACCAAAGCTCTGGATTCAGACTTCTAGCCTCCTGAACTGCGAGAGAATAAACCTGCTCATTAAAGTCATCCATTTACAGGATTTCTGTACTATGGAGGTAACTAAGATAGACCCCCACCAGAAGATAAGCTAGGGACTGTGTCTTATTCAACTGTGCACCCCTAGATCTAGCAAGGTGAGAAGCCAGGAATTGGTGATAATTAAAATGCTGAAAAAATACAAAACCAAAC